TTTTTTGCAGCCGCGAGACTCGACTCATTGTGTCCGTCGCTTATCGTACGCATTGTGTTGCCGTCATCTTTCGCAGTGTCGTCGGCCAGCCATTGAGACAGTTCATAATTAACTTATTTGACCTTGCGACACAACATGACCGATGTAGTTGTTGTTGTAAAAGAGGTTGTGGCTGGAAAGGAACGTGAGAGAGACAGTGTGTGAGCGCGATACTGAAAACGAAAGAGACTTTGAACACAGGAAAGGGGTTGTCGCCACAAAAAGACATGTGTACTACGCGTTGATCGATGACACCCTCGCTTTGAGGGTCGTGGCGGGGCTAGGTTACGACGACGATGATCGCCTTGATGAGGTTGTAATGCACGCAAAAAAGCTTTCGGATGTCGTTCCCGACGCCTGCGAACCCCGACTTCGATATGATTGATCATTTGCTAAGATGCGTCGTGTCAGTCGTTGCGGTCGAGCATGTGGAAAGGTTAGCACCCAACGCATGGTATTTCTCCAAACTCGACAGGCCGCTGCAACGCCGTACTTTTCTCCACGGAGATGTGCGCACTGTGTTGCCAATGGACGGTTGCCGACAACAGTACCAGAGTCTCAACGAACCGTCATCTCGGTCGTCTCATGCTTAGTCCGAAATAGGTGGGTTGACTCACAAAATCGTAAAGGTTTAAACATTCGACAGTGTTCGAGACCGCGACTACCCGCTCATCCCATATACATGTATAAAGTGTGTTCCCCCTCCCCGTGCGATGCATGCAGAACATCATATTTGCGTGATTCGTTGCTCGATCGTTAGGTTTATAACTTACGGTGTCGGTTTCATGTGAATTGCAGCACTTTTTGAACGCGATACGAAAGAAGCGATGATGCATTGCGCGCCAATGAATGTCCGATGTTACCACACCACAAAACTGACAGGCGACGACACCGTATACTATTACGAATCAATGACTCCGGTAACAGATCCTGTCGCCAATGCAATGGGATACCGCAATGGAGACAAGAAGGTGGATCGTCATTTCGTTGTCAGCGTCAAGGAGGAACGAGTCGTCAGACTCACTACAGAGACTTATATTCGTGAACACGCCATCGACCACAGTCGTGTCCTAATGTCTAAGCCGACCACGTACTTCAGCACCTTTGTTCTCAAAGCGGTCGACGGTGATTTGATGTATGATATCGTCTTCCCCCTTGTGCATCGCATACTATACACACACCACGGGACGGTCGCTCAGGACGGCGTCTGGCGCCTGGTCGTGTCACCGCCATATTTTGTCTCTGATGGCGAGGATTTTTCTGCCATGTTTTATCCTTGTAGTGCGATCCAGCGATGAGTACGATTCGTTTTTTTTTCCCTATGTTTCTTCGTTGTTGGAGAGAGACAAAATGATGGTTTGAAATATTGTACATTTTGTGTATACATATGCAATCGTGATCTCTCATGTGTTTGTTATATGTTTTGAGTTTTTTTTTTTTTCGCCTGCTATGCGTTGTGAAATTTGTTTTCGTTTTCGTTATGTGGAGGTACGGTACTAAGGTCATCGGTGCCCGTGATGTTGTGTTTTGTAGATTTCTACAAATACACATATAAGCGACAGAACAATATTCACCCATTCCCATACATGGACCACGACGACGCAGGGCTGGCGTGCGGGCCGACGCAGTCGTGTTTGGAAATGGGACAGATACAGATCCTTTCCGTGACGAGGAGCTGACAGTCGCCGAGATTAGGAGTCGGTGGCCGGGACCCGCAGCGCTTTTGAAGGAGGCTGTGACTTTTGCTGGGCTGGAGGATCATCTGCAATAGTGCATGAATCTGCTTATTGGTCGTGCAAATCTCGAACCAAAGCAGAATCGTTACAATGGATATGTCGCTTTTTCTCGGCTGTGCAGATTCGTCGTTTTCCGACAGAGATTGCCAGACGAGTTCGAAACGGCAATGCGGGAACGACGACCAGATACAATCATTCGAGGTTTTGAACTACGACAATGTGATCCTCCTGAAAACGCGCGCCCACGTCGACGTGCACGGCGGTAAATGCTTCACGACAAGAGAGGTAGATAGATAGATAGATAGATAGATAGATAGATAGATAGATAGATAGATAGATAGATAGATAGAGAGAGAGAGAGAGAGAGAGAGAGAGAGAGAGAGAGAGAGAGAGAGAGAGAGAGAGAGAGAGAGAGAGAGAGAGAGAGAGAGAGAGAGAGAGAGAAAGAGAGAGAGAGAGAGTATGCTTGCCTTCAGTGTGAGTACGTATGTAAGTCCAACTGTGTGTTTGTATGAAAACTGACATTTCCTATTGTCGTGACTTGCAGGGATTGCGTTATATAAATTTTGGTTTCCCTGGTGTACATCATTTTCTTCTTCTTATAATCCTCGATCTCTCATTTGAAGTTCATTTGTTTCATTTTGCAATTGTATGTCATTGTACCATTAGATGTGTGAAAAAAAAGATTCTAATCCTCGCTCTCACCACTCAAGTTCAAAAAACTAACATAAGATACCATCAGATGTGTGAAAAAAAAAAAAACAAAAACAAAAAAAACATTATATAAATATATATATATATATATATATATATATCACTTGGTTGTCTGACGATTTTTTTCCGGTACTCACACACAGACAATCTCAAACGCGCTCACACATGCACACATGGGGGAGGTCAAACAATGACTCTCACTCTCAGACACACTCCCAACAAACAATCACAATAAAGAACCTCAGCAAGATCACAATTCATATGATGCTGATGATGAACCAACTCGATCATTCATGCTTGTCATATATGCCAACAGCTATGTCTTCCTGGAACACTTGCCCTCAAGTCACGGTTACACGATGAAACTGCATTCAACATGCATAAGAGACCTGCAAGTGTTTTTTTTTTTTTTTTTTTTTTTTCCAATCCGGATCATCCACACTAATCCGGACCTGGAAATCCGGACGTCCGGATCATATCAGGACCGACTGGTTGTCTGGGTCCGGATCGGTCCGGTGTCCGGGTTCATGGTAGCCATGAAAAAAAACATTTTGGGGATTTTGTAACCAATGATCGAACAAACGAGTTTGGAGGCTTATTATTTTGAGCAGTATTATTTTTACTATATAGTTTTATACTATCGAAAACATGGCTACGATCCGAACGTTCGGACCGCCGTCCGGACGGTCTGGATTCAGTCTAGATCCAGACGTCCGGTCTGGAAGGCCCGGATCTGGCAAATTTCGAGAAAAAAAAAACAAAAAAAAAAAACGGTCCAAGACCCTTCCCCTTTGAGGAGCAAGCCCCAAAAATTGTTTTGGGGGCTTTTCAGGCCCGTTTATGCTTTTTTTGGGGGTCCGAACATGCTCTCTCTCTGTAGTAATTTATTAGACAACCCCAATTTTTTTTAATTAATAATTCATTACCTTTTATTAGTTTTTAAAGTCTTTTTTTAAGCTTTTTATAGTTTTCAACTTTTAACTCAAGTTTGGTTAGGAATTCTAACATAACTCTGAGGCAAAAGTGGTTTGCATTGTTATTCTGCATAACATACTTTTTTTTTTTTTTTTTTTTTTTTTTAATGGTCTGGACATTTCCGGACCTGTCGAGACTTCCGGACCGTCCGGATCCCCCCATGTCCGGAGATCCGGAGATGTCCGAAATTCCGGACGTACGGAAACTACCGGACATGGGTCCGGTTCCATATCCGAAAATGTCCGGGTCCGGTGTAGCCATGATCGAAAATGATATTCAGTTATTAACATTTTATTATTGTTAACAAGTTAATAATAACAACATTACCATTTTTATTTTATTTAAAATTTTAATTATTTATATTGACAATTATGTAATCCAAGCAATTATTTTAAGCACTAGGGTGAACAATCATCGAACTCTAGTAAAAAAAATGAATTAACGCTTTGCTCACCGGATTTCACGACACCGTTTCGGAATGAGCGAAGAAATCATATCTTAAGTGACTGCCAAAAAATATCATAGATAGGAGGACCACCGTTTTTTCTTTTTATTCCTTTTATTCCTCACTCACTCTATTTTTTGAATTTTTTTCACAACCACCACCAAATTATTTATTCCTAAGTTGGTACAATAGAGACAGACAGCAACGCGAAGAGGGGAAAGCAAATCCATGAAAACAGCGAGTATCATGATTTCACCATTAAGCGAAAACGCAAAAGGAAAAAGAACCAATTATGACAAAAACGAACGAGTTATGAATTTGATGGTATAAAAAAAAACAAAGTACGACCAAACAAGGAAAACTTGTGAGGGAAGAAAAACGAAAAACAAAGTACAAATATAAAAATACCCAAAAAATAAAAGACTATGCAAGACAAATTGTATGGGTCATACGTGCTCATCTTCACTTTCACATAAAGAGCAGAGCAACAAGTCAAAATGACAAATGAAAATAAGTCACGGATAAACTTAAGAAAATGGAAAGCATTCCTAGTCCAAAGCTCGGTGTCTCCTACTACAAGAGAGGATGAAACAAAGTGATGGTGGTGTGCTAAGACCGTAACTATCATGATGCATGCTTCCTTATCTCATAGCAAGCTTCATGTTGCAATAAATCAGTACTTAAAATCTTCAACCCGAAGGTCAACAAGAATGGACATGAAAGGGGAAATGCAGGAAAACACAAACAAACAATGTTGCATAAACACTAGTGGGTCTTACCAAGACTCCAAATCACGAGGCCTAACTGCCCAATTGTGGAGTGCCTATCTACAACATCAGACTTTATTTCACCCAATGAACATTCAAAAATAGTTTGCCTTAAGCTGAAAATAACCAATCATCCCAAACTTTCAAAAAGTGGTTGTTCAGGTTGGGGCATGAAGACGAAATAGTCCACGTCTCTACCAAACCAAATCCCATGTGTTTTTATTGCAGGATGAAGGAATATATGGAAAATTATATTTGCACGCCCGATCAACAACAATAAGGGGAATGAGCATTAACTGAAGCAACTAATATTGTTAGAGTCCAAGGATATAAAAGATCTCTAGATCATCGACGACCCGACCTACACAGGTTATGTCTTTGATGAAATGCAGCATGCATGTATACGGGTAATTTCATGTCTTGAGCTCACGAAAAATATTCCCCCAGGTAGCAGTAAATGGAGAATATTTAAGATGGATGGGATTTCACGATCCCACAAAACGTCAACAGTCGAGACAAAGGGCAAAGAAAATTTTTATATCAGAATGCTAGTGTGCAATGCTCAAATTGAGGGGAAAAACATCAGATTTTCCTCCTCAACAACTTAAAAAAAAAAAAAAAAAAGTGAAGTTAAAATTTAAAAAGGACTGGGAGTTTTCATATATATCGAATGTCAAGAGCATTGAAAATTCAGGACTCCATCAACTGCCTCTTGCTTCAACAAGAGTTTCCAAGATAGAAAAGTACTTCAAAACATGAGGTAACGCAGATACTCTGAAATGCCAAGGGACCTAGCCTAGCATCAAAAAGGCAAAAAATGTTTGAAAAAAAAAATAGATTCCTTAATGGCATAACGAGAGTGAAAGCAAGGGAGGTATTTCAAAGCACAAAAAAAGACTCCCACATGAACAAAAGTGGAGGAAGAGTACTAGAGACCAACACAGATCTGGGTAAGAGAGGTTGAAAAGGAAACAGACGAAATCATTCATGAAACTATTATAAAGGAGGGAAAAGGATCAGCAAAGGAAGAGGAAAAGATTGATCAGGGTAAATAAAGGAAGATGAAGGGATCAACCAAGGTCAGCGAAGGAAGACGAAGGGATTGACCATAAAGGAAAAGGGAATAAGAAGACGGAGAAACAAAAGTTCTCTACTACCAAAGGGGCAATTAAGTCAAAGGTTAATATAACACTTCCTGGTGGTTGAAAAATATATTGAAGCTCTGATAACAGAGGGAGAAAATAAAACGAAGGGCACTATAATAATAAAGATCTGTAGTATAAGCATGGAACAAGAATGGAGGTCAAACTCAACTATTGCCGCTATGTTTGTGCATGAAGTGTTTAAACGTGGTCGTAGTAAGGTTTGTATTCTCATAGCATCAATATAGCATAAGTGGGGTTAGTCGCTTAGGATGGGGTTATACACTCTGCCAATAACACAATGAAAGAATATAAAGAATACAATACAATAAATAAATTTTCATAT